TGGCTCAGGAGAAATGTCAGTAACGTTCCTGTAAAATATTTAACACTGAGCAGTATAACACCACCATGTGTCTTCCAATGTGAATTAGTTGCTAAATATATCTCCAAGTAACTAAAAGAAGTTGACCTACACTGGACATATTTCATTTAATCTGTAATCTTTGACAACTGTTCACCAAAAGATTTTATTTTTAACTAATGCTGATGAGTTTTTTCCTTTTAATCACTAAGTAAATAAACACTGCACAAAAATGGCGTGGACTGTCTTTTTTTTCCAGAAAGCAAAGAAGTAGTTAAAGAATGTTGGAGTCTTGATAGAATGACACAGGAGAAAACATGAAAGCGATCACACTGGTAAATCAAGGTAAAATAAATATCAAAATAAAAAATAACAGTCTCTTATTGAATAAAATATAAATCCATAAATTACTACTATATAAATAAGTGAAATAGTGTATGTTTTATGAGAAGCAGAATATGTATTAATTACAGAGAAAGAATTTACACTGGAGAGTTCTGACAGGTACCAACTTAATGGAAGATACTCCCTGTTGCTAGGTAGCAGGGAAGACAAAGCATTGTTTCTGTAATTTTCCAATAAAATATACATAACATGAATGAGGAAACAAATTCCAGCTTTGAAACATTCTATAGAAATAGCTGGTCTATAATCTTCAAAATCATTGAGTTCATAAAAGTCAAAGGAAGCACAGAGAATTTTTCCAGATGGAAGAAGACTAAGTGCAACACCTGGGAGGAACTTCAAGGCAGAAAGATAGAATAAATTTCCCTGAAAATCTACTCCTTTATAAAGGCAAAAATTGTCAACAGCCTATTTTGCTTTTCAAGCAAAAACGTGTTCTGACATTTCCGACACCCCAATGATCTTCAAGACAACAACTTATCAAATTGCTCCATGAGAATAAAATGAACATCAACAGAATTAAAGAAAACAATAGTAGAGGAATGTAAGAATGAGAAAGAGGTGGCATGTATAAAGCAAATAGAAATTAGTAGATGTTAATCCGACATTATCAGAAATTACATTAAAGACGTAGTAAAGATCAAATTAGAAGTCAGAGATAGTACTAAAGACAAAACTTTAAGCATATATTATCTATAAGAGACACCTTAGATTCAAAGGTACAGATGGTTGAAAAATGAAGGATATAAAAATATAACAAGCAAAAGTATACATAAGGCAGATGAAGTTGTTATAGTAATATCATACATAATAGAGTTTTGAAAAAATACATGTTAACAAAAAATAGGGACAGTTTATAATTATAAAAGAACCAATACCTGAAGCGAGATAATAGTTATAAATATATATGCACATAATAACAGAGCTTCAAAATACATTTTAAAACTAGCAGAACTGAAGGTAGCAATAGATAAGTCAATAACAAAAACTATGGGCTTCAGACTCTTTAAATGATACCATAAACTAGACCTACCAGACTTCTATAGCACACTCTAATAATTGCAGGAAATAATTTTCTCAAGTAACCATGGAACATTTTCTATACCACATAATAAAACCCATGATAGACTATAAAACAAAGAGTTGAAACCATACATATTTTCTAACTATAATGAAATCAATGTAAACATTAAACAACAAACAAGTAATTCAGGAAAGTTTGCAAATGTGTGGAAATTAAGCAACGCTCACTTAAATAACCATGCCCAAACATACGGCATGTCACTAAAAGAAGTTAGAGGAAAATATATAACTCTAATACCTATACCAAAAATAATGAGATCTCAAATCAAAAATCTGACTGTCCACCCTTAAAAAAAAACTATAAAAAGAACAAAATAAACCCCAATGATGGAAATAATGAAGATTAAATGAGAAATAAGTGAAAAAGAAGATAGAAATATAAGAGGGAAAATTGAATCCAAAAGTTGTTTCTTAGAAAACTTCAACAAAATTGGAACACCATTTGTTAGACTGACCTCATCGCCAAAGGAGGAGACACTCTAATATAATTAGAAATGATAAAGAGGGTATCATTGTATGGAAGTATCATTGTTATGGTATTTCATTGGAATACCATAAATAATTTTATGCCAACAAATCATGTAACTCGAAGCAGTAACTATAATATTTGGGGATGGTGTTGCCTTAAAATGGTGATGTTCTTAAATGATTCAGGGGGAAAAAAGTCATTTTACTGTATTTGAAACTTGGGTAAATATGAGTTGTTCTCAAAAAAAAAAAAAGGAAAAAGAGTGATACCTTGCCATAGTATTATTGATTATTGTAAGAAGGAATCATTAAAGTACAGGTCTTTAACATGTTCACACATGTGCACACTTGCACAAATACCTGACTCTATGGTGTCAGAGGTGGAGCAGCTTCAGAAACATCTGAAAGGCTAAGGTGTGGCTGTTAGAGTGGATGACTGAAATCAGGTATAGAGGAGGTCAAGGAATGGACTCTGGCACTGGTGGAGATATACATGAGGTCTTTGAGACTATGTGAGATAATGACAGGATATCGGCCAGAGAGGACTGTAAATGAAGTTCCAATTCTTCCTAAGGAAACAAGCAAACAGGCCTCTATGAAATGAATGTAGGAACAGAGAGTTTTAAGTAAGAGAAGAATGAACCCCAAAGAAGTTGGATAAATAAGTGTGAGAATATAGAGAATAGAGTCAAATAGAAGAATAGTTGATCCTAACTTCAGGTGGCACTTAGGAGACCACGCATGGTAGGCCTGATCCTGCCATGGATTCAGAATTTTTATGGAAAACATCAGAACCAGAAATTAAAAGGAATTATTAGACTCTTTGTAACTGCTGTCAGAAAATCAACTATGAAATACAGTTTTCTATAATTCTTTCCTGATCTACTCACAAGGGGGAATAATAGTGGATGACAGAGGAATTGAACTGGCACATTTATTCTTCACATTGGGTATTTGATCCCAGACTCTATAATGCCACCAATGTTGCAAAAGTTAATTCATTGTAATTACATTGTAATAATAATACAATGAGGCCCAACTTTAAAACATATTGTGTATATGGACTTATACACATTGATATAAGTATATGAATAGATACACAATTCACATTTCAGTTATAGATGAGGTTATTTTTATAATCACAAAAGTATGTGCCATATATTCCATTCAAATAGTTACTTTCTTTCATGAGCAGTTATATAGTAAAGGGAAGACAAAACACAACTGAGGGGAAGTAAGATACACTGACAAGTTGGGATTTAGGTAAGTCAATTACTTACCTGAATAATTTCAGTTTCACTTGTGAAATTATTTAAAATTCCTTTAAATGTCGTAAATTCTAAGTAATTTATTATTTCATTTAAATGCAACTATGTATTTCATATATGAAGTAAATTACCTATTACTTTACTTCTTTAATGTTACAGTACCACATATATGTATATATATCACATGTATGATACCATGCATCTAGTATACATTGTACACTCAAGAACATCAAAATGGTTCTGTGGAAACATGTCAAAAACTCCTTTCATGGGCCCTCCCTGGTGGCGCAGGGGGTTAAAGCACAGCACTAAGAAGCTTAAGCCACTTCCGCATGAGTTTGATTCCCGCCTGTCCCAGAGGTGTGAGGCAGACCTCTCCTGACACCCCCTACCCCCTGTTCTGCTCCCTGCTCTGTCTCTGGTGAATCCTCTCACCCTCCGCATCTCTGGCCTGTACCCCAGTTCTGTATGAATAAATAAATAAATGTTTAAAAAAAAACAAACAAAAAACTCCTTTCACTCTTTATACTTCCTGAGTAGTAAAATCATTCCTCTTTCTCCATGCACCAACACCGACACAATTAGTTTAAAACATTTTCATACCAAGAGATGAGGGATATTGTCTAGGGATCTTGATTTCACTAAATAATAGTGATTATCATGTCTTAATTGTTTTCCAGAGGAATGCTTCATTTAGATGACTGCCTAATACCACTAGTCATAACAAGATATTTGTATTTACCACTTATTATTATTAATTCTTTGGAAAGCTGTTCACCATACCTTTGCCCATGCAGACCCTTGTTAAATTGCAATCATTTTAAGATAGGCATGCATAGTCACTGCACACACTCTTAAGGAGGAAGGGGGGGGGATTTGGGATTAAACTTTTTCCACGGATTAAACCATGCATAAGAATATAACAATTTTGGAGAAAACCCAGCTTACTTTTGACTTAATGCACCCAGAATATTTCAAATCAACACAGTATTAATATTTTAATGGAAAATTAATATGACTGTTAATGGAAATGAGGGAACAGCATCCTCATATGTAGGAAAAGGCTGTTTGGTTGGGGAGAACCCAAATGTTGGAAGAAGTAAGCACAAATTATTTGTTTCCTTGAGCAAGGACACAGTAAACACTTGACTTGGTGGTGCAACATTACACTTTGGATTTATAGCAGAGTACACAAGTAGCAGTGACTTTGAAAGCAAAGCATAAAGAACCAAGGGAAAAGTTATTAGTTCTTAAAAATTTGTTCCTCATTACTAGGATTTAAAGTTTCCCCTCAATCTAAAAGCAGGAGACACTCTTGTTGGTATCCCCAGCATACCCATCAGCTGTTCTTCCTAAATAATTACTCCTGCAGAAAACCAATGATATTTGAGTCTGGGTTATCAACAATCCTTTATTTGTTGCCTGAAAATTTAAAACCAATAGACTCTCAGCCTGAACAATGCACAGTGAAAGTTTCCTTTGCATGTTGGTAAAAAAATAAAAAAATGTCTTCTATTTTTTATTTGCTTCTAGTGTCTTGAAAAATTCTATCACCTTTCCAAATCCCCCCATATAAACATGGGAAAATATTCTCCCTCAGTAAGGTAACAGCTCTCAGTATCACCCTAAGGCACTTTTAACTGCTCCAGCTTCCGGATGGACGTTGTCTTGTTCAAATTTAGCTTCTAGGTGGGTTCCAGGAAGAGAATTTTCTATGGGTATCTTCCTCTTTTCCTTTTCATAAGTAACTTCCTCTTTTCCTTTTCATTGAAAGTGAGAAATCCTACTTACAAGAAATATGCACTGACCCCTGTTCCCCTACGTGGACACAGCGCTGGGAGAGGACGCTGCCAGTGAGGGGTCTGCTCTGTTCCCTCGACCAAAGTACCCAACCTTCACCCCATTATCTGTGCCACGTACAGAACTAGAATGCAGAGCAGCGGCCTCGCCACCACTTTCCACACCCCCGGGTTGGGCCAGCGGCCCCTTCCTCTGCCTGGAGGAAGGTTTTTTGTGAAAGCAGAGTTTGAAAAGCCCCAGCACTGTCATGGTCAAGATCACCAATACCACTACTGCTATGCTCACAAGGATGAAGACCACAGTGGAAGAGGTGTCAGAAGGCTGGGGAATGGCAGAAGAAGATGTGGAATTAAGTTCGTGAGTCACTGAAGAGGTGACAGTGGCCTTTGACTCGGCTTCAGTGAAAATTTGAAGAGTAGACATCGTGCTCTGTGTGCCCCACTGAGGAATCTCAGGAATAGATGTTGCTGCACTGTCTTGTCCAAGGACATGGGGTATCTCTCCAAGCTTCTCGTGGACCCTGGGTGGCAACGTTCTCTTCGGCATGGGGGTGGATACAGTGGCAGGCGGGAGCCTGGAGGGTACCTCGGTATCCTCAGGGGTTGGCTGCCCTTCCTCGCTGGTGACACAAGAGCGTCCGTCTTTCCCTAGTACGAAGCCCGCAGCACACTGGCAGGCAAAGCCTCCAGCGTCATCTAGGCAGTCGGGGAGCTGTGCGCATTTGCCAGCACGGAGGTACCTCCCGGGACAGGGACAGAGCACGGCCCCGGAGGGTATCCCGTCCCAGCGCGCGCCGACCTCGTCCGCGATGCAGGTGGCTGTGGCGAAGATCCGCCCCGGGCAGAGCGCACTCACCTTGGTCCCCGGGGGACTGAAGTCCAGCGCCGCGCTGTGCAGCTGGAAAGGCGCGCGGTAGCTCAAGTTAGAGGCGGCCCCAGGGTGCGGCGCTGGGCACAAGCCCTCAAACTGGTACTTGCACAGATAGCCGTTGGCACGCAGGTGGCATCGCATCTCCTTCCAGCCTACGGGCTCGACTCCCCCGGTGGCCTGAAGTCCAGCGCATCCACGCACGGTGCAGGACCGCTGGGGCTCCTCCACCCACTGCAGCGTGTTGCTTTCAGATCCCTCATCGGCCTCGGCGTCGGGGGACAACCAGGAAAAACCCCGTAAGGGCTCATTCTCCAGGGTGCAGTGAGAACGTCTGCGCTCCAGCGCCACCCAAAATAGAAGGTCTTTGGAGCCTCCTCCCGGGCCTGGGCCTGCCCTCAGGAGAGCGAGAACCGTGCTGAGCTCCTCGCCCCCACGCACGGTGCTGAGCGCCCCACCGCGCAGGTTGCAAGCCTCGTCAGCCTCCTTTCGTTTAAAGGTAGCATGGTGCAAGCTATAGCAGGCCCCCGAAACCGAACAGCCCGCACGGTCGGCTGTGGGGTGTTCGCCACTGCCTGGATGGGGCCAGAACGCCTGGCAGAGGAGGCACAAGGTGAGCACCGGCCTCATTTTGGAGGACCCTGTCCCACTGCTGCTCCCAACTCTAATCTCTCCCTCCAGACGGCGCGCAGCTGTCCCAGACAGCGGTCACCGCCCCTAACTGCTCGCTCTCGCTCTGCTCCTCCCGCCCCACTCCCGCCAGGCCTTTAAACTTCCAAGAACCCCAGCCTGGGTCTTGGCAGCAAACAGCATCCCTTAGGCCGCGACAGGAAATGTGTAGGGAGGTCTGCCAGGCCCTGTGCAGGCCTGGTTTATTCTGGGGTCAGTCACACAGCTGGCGCCAGGGCACCGGGAACAGCCCATCAGAAGGTCAAACACTGCTTGGAGCAGGAGAAAAAGAAAGGCCCCTCTGGGATGAAGGGGTCTTGTTTTCCCTACTTAAGAAGTTTCAGCACTTCAGATGCCAAGCCTCTTTCCCCTTTGAGAGTTTCAGCACCTCAGATTCCAAAATACTTTGGGGGAAAGTTGACCGGAAAGCCGGGAGAAAAGGAACCTCCGGAGGGGCTACGCCTGCCCATTGTGTTTCGTCCGGAGAGGCTGTGTTGGCCTCATTTGAATTTGTGGACGGCTCCAGGCTTCCTCGGGTTGAGATTCAAGCCAGGGTGCGTGGGGGTGGGGGACAAAACAAACGAAAAAATCCTTCTCCTCTGTTAACCCCCACCACCACCTTTTGAGAAAACGAAGCATCCCCTTCTCCATGAGAGGCAGCACTTTTAACCGCCAATTTCTTTCTAGGCTCTTTATTCAGAGAGGCAGATGTACTAAATTGCTAGTCAAAGAATTTAGTTCCTTTTTGGTATCTTCGGATACCGGCAGCTAAGCTTCTTAGGTCAGCACTTACCTTAAGAGTTTATTTTTTCTTTCCATTTGTTTCTCCTTGAAATGACCTCTAGTGATTCATTCAGGAAAGGAATTGGATATGTAGGCTTAAACTTAAAATAACTTATAGTTATTAACTATTATGTTGTTTCCGGACAATATACTAGCTCAAAATTTTAAACTTAGAGGATATGTATAAATGAGATCATGAGCTTATTAAGGTTTGAGGACAGCTATCCCACTTGTGATTTCATTTTTGAACTGTTTTAGTATCATTTTCTCCTAAGATTAAGTGCCAGTATTAACAACAAGCAGTAAATTGTAAAAGTTGCTTTATTGTATTGGAGTTCAATATCCTTAAGAAATTAAAATACTGATCATATTATTATGCGTACTTTACTGTAAAAAAATTCTTGAAACTTAAAAGATGGGTGAGTCAATTTCTTCAGTTACAATGGGTGGTTTGTTTTAATGTAAACACTTCATTCATGGAACTGGGGAAGAGTTAAAGATGAGTAAAGGAAGAAAAGAAAGCCTATGAAAAGATTTTCTAATTAGCAACTTAGACAATGCTACCTCATTTTAGGAAATGTATTATCACTTATCTTTACTCATAATGATCAAATACGTTGCAAAACAGAAATATATAAAGACATTCAAATAAGACAATTTAACTGTGCATGCTATTTTAAAATATCTATAATAGGAATGAAAGGTGCCATTCTGTAAATCATGATACTGCACTTTAAATTCATTTTGCTCTATTGGATTAGTCCAATTCAGTTTAATAAAAAGGGCTAGGTTGGAAGGTTTCAGGACCACACTATATCATTCCACCTCATTTTTTACCACTATTCTCTTCTTTTTAGAATATCCATGTATCTTAGCAAAAGATAGTAAACACCATGAATCATTATCACATGTACCTTGCTTTTGCTGGCTATGGAGATTTGTAGCAGGAGTCTTACTCTTGCTGCTTCCCAGTTTAAAAGATGTCCACTAGTCCTTTATTTCAGTGATGAAAATTCAGAAATATAACTGAATGGACTTTAAAAATACTTAATCACTTGGGCTAACTCTATGCAACTTTCCAATCTAACAACTGTGCATTTCTGAATGTGTCTGTGTAGTTCTATATAGCCTAATAAAATAAAAACTGTTACAAACCCAAGAAGTCACTGGAAAGGTCATACATATTTTCAAAATCAGTTGAGATGAAGTGAATTTTCTAGAGTAAGAAAGGATGAATAACTGGAGAACTTATAGTAAATACATGACATCATTCCTTGGCATTCCACCTCGGGCGGGCGGCAGAGTATCCAAAGGGAACAAAGTGGCTGCATCACTGCCTGTCACAGTTCCTGCCATTCCTGGAGTGATGTGAAAGATGAGTTAAGAAAAATTAGCTCAAAATAAGATACATGACATTTTGTAATTAATTTCTTTGTATCAATCTATAAGCTACCAATGGAAGAATATTTTAATTATTAAATAATATCTAATAGGATCATAAAAAGATAGCACTTTACCTTCACTAGATTTCAAATATTTAAAATTCTGATAAAACCCAGTATACATACACAGGTCCTTTTATATGTTTCAGAGAAGAGCGGAAACTTTGAAAAAAGCTTGCCAGTTTTTTTCCTCTGAAATTGAACATTTACATATTTTGCACCCCAGTATTTGCATGCCTAAGTACATATTCTAGAGAAATTCTTGTACATATACAAGAATATGTGTGTGTGCATGTACACACATTCATACCGTGGTCCCAAGGGGACTGAAGGATATTTACAGTTGCACTGCTCATATTAATAAAAACCAGAATGAATCCAAGTGTTCTGCAGCAGGTGGTAGACAGGTAAACTGTGGTACATTTAGTCAATACATATTTCAAAAAAAATAAAATGAAATACAACCATAAAAAATAGTATCAATCTTACAATACAATATTAAATGATGAAAGTCTCAAATGATTATAGTGTTTCACCTTCTATTGCTGGTCTTTATTGAATTAATTTTGTCATCATTGAAAAAAACAACTTCTGGGTCTTAGCAGATTTCTGAGTTCTCTTGATATATAAAATATTGCAGAGGAAATTGAAAATGAGACAACATTCCATTCAAAGTATGTAGCATTCTGAAGCTAAACTATAGAGACCAGAAACTGTGAAGACTCATAGTTGTATTGGTCCTTAACAAAATATATAATTATATATAATTATATATATATTTAAAATATAAAAGAAATTTTTAAATATTATGTATTGAGTTCCTGGAAGTATCTTATGAGTGATAAAATTTAGTGTTGAAAATAACTTACATTTTTCATTCTGTACAAGTCCTAATCAGATTACATGGGTTGACTTTTAGCCCAACAGATCATATAGGTTATAACTCAGATTCATATACACACAAACACTTCTCTCAGGTGGCTTTGTACTTAAGACACCTGCATATACTTAGATACAGTCAACTACTTCAGAAATATGTGTCACAGTGATAGCTACTCTTCTGATTTAGTGAATAGCATGACTAAGGACAGAGAAATAAAAACTAAAAAAAACAAACATAACACTTTCAGCCCCTTCATTCAACTGTGCTCTAAACAGAAGCACAGTTTACCCTGTTTACCCTGGAGGTAATATGAAAATTTTTTCTCTGGTAGCCCTTACAGAATTAGTGCACTTCCCCACTGCCAAGTATATAATCAAAAATAATGGAGGAACAGTTCATGCACACAGAAGAACTTGTTAAGTGCAAATGCCTAACAAGCTTTAAAGTATAAATGTTTATCGTACTATACAAGTATGTTTTCAAAATTGTAATGTAATGTAATGTCAGTTTATGAGCTACATTTGAAAATCAGTGTTATTACTTTAAAGTCACATACAACTATCTTCTCCAGTAAATCCCCCCGACCCCTGCACACACACAACACACACATACACAAGCCCTCACTGAGCCTTTCCTTCCTTTCTTTCTCTCTTTCTTCTTCTTCTTTTTTTTTTTAGATGTCAATAAAGGTGAAACTTTAGGGCTGCTTGTTAGCCTCACTTCACAAAATACAGCTGTATGGAGTGGGGTGGTGGTTGGCCTGAAGCAATCCTGCTTTATTAAAGTTTGCCTTTAAAAATTTGGTATCAGCCCTCCCTGGTGGCCCAGCAGGTTAAAAGCACAGCACTAAGAAGCAAAAGCTAGATCCAGGCCCCAGGAGGTGACCACATGGCATGGCAGACCTCTCCTAACCTATCTGGTGCTCCCCTCAGAAGTGTGCTTTGTTGATCTGCCTGTTCTGCTCCCCACTCTGTCTCTGGTGAAGCCTCTCACTGTCCCTTAACCTCTGGCCTATAGCCCAGTTCTGTATTCATAAATAAATAAATCTTAAAAAAAAAAATTGGTATCAGTTCTACTAGTCTTGAAGTTCTTCAGGGCCTCATGTCAGATTCTCTTCTTTTTCTGCTGGAGAATCATTCCTTCAGGTAACTTCTTTCAAATTAATGTATGGCTTTAGATATTATCTCTATGCTGGTTGCCCCAAACCTATATCCACACTCAGTCTTCTTGACTGAGCACTCAATTAATACTTCCACCATCTACAATTGATCCTCAAACAACACAGGATTTAGCTATGTGTGTCTATTTATTCTGGGATTCTTTTCTGTTCATGGGTTCTGCATTCATGGACCCAACCACTACCAGCAGGCCTTAGAGTGAAGCCGCAGATGTGGAATCTACAGTTACAAAGGGCTAATTAAAAAGCATATACACTCAGCAGTACCCAAGTTGTTCAGGGTCAACTATACTTAATATTTCTACTTTGATGTCACATGGGTATTTCATATTACTATTTCCCAATTAGAACTTCAGTTCTTCCCTCAAAGCCATCTTCTGATCTTGCTTTCGTCATATTAGTAAGTGGTAGTTCTTATCATCTCCTTAAAGTCTTCTCCTATAACTCTGTTAGGAAAATCCCAAGAAAGAATTCTGATTGATCCATTTATTTTAAAAGATGTTTTTTTCAAATTTATACATATAAGAACTGGGCTATGGGCCAGAGGTGTGTGGGGTGAAAGGATTCACTGGAGACTGAGTGGGGCACAGAACAGGCAGATCTACTGAAATGCACTATTGAGGGGAGCAGTGGGAAAGACAGGAGAGATCTGCTGTGCCATTTGGGTCAGCTCCCTCGCTGGGGATAAAACCCAT